AATGCGCCGGGGTGCAGACCCTGCTATAATACTGGGCTCGCCAGGCAGAGATCGCGTTTCTCAGCTGCGTCCGGAAGAAGAAGTAGTAGTAGTAGTAGTAGTAGTAGTAGTAGGAGTGGTGGTAGTAGTAGCATGCAGCAAGCTCTACAGCATCATTGAAACTTAGCCACACGCCGGTTAAAGATGTCTGACTAGTGTGTGGCACGCGAGAAGATGTCCCTTGCTCTTTACGTTGCCTTCACATCCACCGCATTGTGCTTTAATGTTCTGGCATGAGGAATGAACATCGAAGACCACAGCCTCTCCAAGGGCTACATCCCGGCCCTGTGTGCTCGGTAGCAGCTTCTGCGTGTAGATGCTGGCATTTTTCATGTGCCGACACATTGTGCCACAGTGTTAAGCTGTCAGGAAAGTTTTATTGCTCGCAGTCTCTTCCGTGAGGTGCTGCCTTCGATCCTGTTGTAGCCGGTGGACTCTGGGATGAAATGGGGCAGACGCTCGTTGACGAGGACATCGGACTCTGACTGTTTTGCAGAAGCAGAGTCGAGGTATCGACTAGAAACTGTTGACGCAGGCTGGGCACGGCTTGATGTGATCTTTCCGAGACGGGAGCACCGGCACCTGCGGTTGGGCCATGGGAGAATGGCAGCTTCGAGAAGAGTTCTCCTGGAGCGCTGCGAAGCCGAACGTGGCCCTCTACTTCCGGCCGTGGTCATGGACTTGTGGATGACGTGAGGGCGTGAGCTCGCAGTGCGAGAGCCTCTGCAGTGCAGAAGGGCGTCTCCAAGTTGACGTCGCGGCGACCGCGGACTGCCTTCCCTTACGAGACGGCTGCGACAGCCGGCAGGCGACAGAACAAACTTCGGACTCTGCTTGCATACTGTGTTTGAGCCCGTCCTTGCTTTTCTTATCATCGCAGCTTGTTTCAGCCTCCCAGAGTAACTTAGCTCCATGCACCTCTAGATACTCTTGGATACTTCTACCCAGCTTCTAACATCCTCAGTTCTCAAAGCTGTCAGATGCATGATCAGCCCTTTCAGACATGCTTAAGCTGCCGAGGACCCCACAATTTAAACTTCTGGATTGGAGCCCTGCTATGGCGGCTCTGTGGCATGCGGTGCCTTCGAGGCCTGTAGCTTTGCCATCGTCGCCGTTGCAAAGCCGTGCTATGCAGATGTCCTGCTTCTGTTCGACTGGCTTTGAGGGACCGAAATCTCCCTTGTAAGGAACATGGTGTGGTAACAGCTGGATGGATTCCCAACGCCGCAGGTTTGTTTGGACTCATGATAGAGTAGCTGCACCAAGATGTTCGTGTTGAAGTGTTGATGTAGTGTAGAGTTGGCGTGCGAGCCATGGATGCAAATGCCCCGTCGACAAGCAGGAATGATGGCCACTCGGATCTTATGTTTCTTTTTTTGTCGGCTTCGTCCGTCTGAGCCCAAAGATTCAGGATGGCTGATTATTGCAATGGTGAACTGAAAGATCCAATGGCAAACTTTGAAGGTTTGAAGGATTAGTTTGGACACCTTGGTATGCACACGTAAGTGGGCATCAAACTGCTCGTTTCAACTCGAGAAACTTCCGACGATTCAACCTTTGAAACTGTCGAGCTGGACTAGCTGCTTCGAACTCAAGTTGAGCCGGGGAGGCGGGCGATCAGCTCAAAGTTTGCAAGGTCGAAAGTTTGGTGATTGAACGGTTCGAAAGTTTCCCGTGTGAGAGTTCGGAAGCTTCTAGTCTTAACCTTCGAAAGTTCCATTGTGTCGACTTTGAAGGTTTGCTCCAAGTTTGGCTCGTGGCTCGCCGCTGAGGTCGCGAGGTTGACAGTGCGAAATTTTCGAAGTTGGAGAGATTTGGACTTCCAGACTTTGAAAGTTTGTGCCTTTGATATTTCGAAGGCATGAGATTTCGAAGGTTTGAAAGGTCCGGCACGAGGTGTGGAGTGTGCTTGTTACTCACGGTCGGCTTGCACTAGGCACATGCTCGTAAGACGGTTCGTGGCGATGGAAGTATTCTGAAATCCGCCTCTCATGGCGGCTGATCACATGTCTTAGGCTCACCCGCCTCCTTCAACACATTTCACAGAAACAGCCTCTCACTAGGCGATGGCGGTAGATGGCATTTCTTAAACTCGCTCCCTCGTTATATGATGACGGTTACTTACATTTTATAAACCCAGCGCGCCAGGCGACATGTCTTAGGCCCGCACCCTCATGAAACAACGACGGTTGATCACATCTCGTAGAGCTTGTCCCTTATTTCGCGATGGTCAAACTGCACGATTTCAACTGAGACTTTCCATTTTCGACACCTCAAACCATCAAACATTTCTTGTTCCAAAGTTGCAGACCCTGAAGCTGTAAAGCGTTCGAACACTCATGCTTCGTTCGAAGATGGAAAGTTCATTCATTCGAAGTCTCAGACTTTCAACCTTTCAACCCCTGAGCCTTTCAGACTTTCCGTTTGATTCCTCAAACTTTCGAACTCCAACTTTTCGAACGTTGAAACTCGAGCATGCGAGGCTCCGCATGGACCCATCCGAGTTCAAGCTGTTAAAATGCGTACTTCAACATCGAGCCTGTTCTCAAACATTGAACTTTCGAGCTCGAAACTCTTCATTCTGCAATTCTTTCAAACTTTCAGTCTCCCCAATCTCGCCCTCCATCTGATACGTTCAATCTTTAAATGAATAAAATTCGAAAGCCCTATTCGTGACAGATATCTGACAGTCGCAGCTCAGGTAGGGCGATCCGCCGCAATTTCCAGCTAATGACTTGGACCTTCAGTTTGAACCATGCCACTGTGACGACGCTGATGATGTATGCAAGCTCAGCCGCGGGCTAAGACTACCTGATGCGATTGAGGGTGCCCCGAGCTGACCCTTTGTTTGAAGGTTCTGGGCCACTTCACAGGAAACCTCTCGAACTCCTTGCTCTTCGCGGCTCGCTTCCCGGGTCCGTGTCTTCTTGCCTCTCGCCTTGGAGAGCCGTGCTTCAGCGCCGAGGTGAGCCTCGTTGCCTCCCTGGGTCTGGCCCCGGTGATTGCCAGCACCTTCGGGCCGACGAGAGGCACGAGCGGCAAGCGAGCGGCAAGCGCGGGGCAGGGCTTACCTCTCGCGGGCTTTAGGTCTTCTAATCGGCCTCGTCGGTTGCAGCGCCTACGTGCTCTTCTTCGTTCTGGCCGCTTTTCTCTGTACTTGGGAAAGGGGCCAGCCAGGACATCCAGGAGGTGGCCTGCCCCTTGCTGTTCATCTTGCTGCCCAGCCGCCAAGTGCTGTACTGTGAGGCTGTGGCTGTGACAGCAGCGTGCCGAGGACTCTTGTTTTCGAAGCTCGGCAGCAGTTCAGCAGGCCAAGGCAGGCAGCTCCCTCTGCCTCGGCCTCATGACAAGGTCGGCGCGGCCTTCGGCGGGCTGGGGGCTGGCATCCTTTGGCCCAGCCAAGGGGCCTTCTTCTCTGCAGCGGCCGCGGCCCAAAAGTTGAGGGGCTTCGTTGTGTGGGTGTGGCAGAGTTCTGCGGAGGTGGCTCGCCTCGCCGAGCAGCCAGAGGAACCAGGGCAAGTCAGCGGAACGATGGAGGCTCGTGTGCCGGGCACTTGCTGTCGCGTCACATCGCGAACATCGCCAGGACTCCGAGGCCTCTAAGTGCCGTCTGACCAGCGAGCTGTCGTCTTCCTTTGCCTTCGCTCTGATGGTGTCAGACGCCTGCCGCGGAAACCAGTCTGGTCTTCGTTGTGTCTAGTCTCACACCGGCCTGAATCTCCAAGGAGTGCAGCACCAAACTGCTCCTCGCAGTCCCTTAGCTCACGATGTCCAGTCAAGCGGAACGAGTTTTAGCCACTTCATCTTGACGACGTGTACTCTACTCGGAGATCTTGTGAGTTTCGTTGCCCAAGGTCTTGCTTACCTATGTGCTACTTGTCTGCAGCGGCTGCGGCTGTGGTGGGTCGCTGCAAAGAGTGCAAAGAACGACTCCTGCACTCTAAGGAGGGTGCAGGTCTGGTCGTCCTGGGTCTTCCTTTCTGCACTTGTCGTCGCACTGCTGGAAGCCTGACTGCGAACAACTGCGTGAAGTCCGCTAAGTGACGCCCACCGTACGACTTCCTGAATCGGACAGACTGCGAGGCCGTGGCCGTCTTCGCCGCCTTTGCCGAGCGCATGGAAGCTTGTCCAGGGACCGCTGCAAGGACTCGCCTGGATTGTTCTCGTGGTGCATGCAGTGCATGCCTGCGTGCACATGGATGAGGCCGATCTGCGAGAGGACGCTGACAGGGCTGCGGCTTTGGGGGGATCCCAAGCTCTGGCTTCTCGGAGTTTTGAGCCGAGGGGCGTGAAGTTCTAATATCCCGCGCCTTGCTCAGGCTGTTGTCCATGACCAACTTCGCCTTCGGTGGCTTGGTGATGGTGACCGTGGTCCTTGTGCAAAGGCTTTGCATTTGCAGCCGAGGTTTCTCCGTCTCGCGCTGAGTTCGGCGCCAGAAGGCCAGCTCGCATGTTTCCGCCGGCGCATTGCAGGTTGCTTGGGTCAATGGCGTAGTGAACACGCGCTGGCACGAGGCACCAGGATGCATTGACAGTTTCTCTTGTGCTATGAATCGAAAGCCTTCAGGCAACAGGGGATCTACACTTGCTTGGCTACGCTGGTGCTCTCACAACCGGTGTTGCTGGAGCTCCTCGGCCAGGATGAATTGCTGCCACCTGCCAGACATGCACTGTATTCCGAATTTCTCAGGTTATATCGAAGCTTTCCGTTGGGCCGGTTGCCTGCGGCAAAGGCACGCCCAAAAGTGTCTTACACGAGATTGCTCCTTGCCGCAATTGTTCACTCCAGGTTATGTCCTCGCCCTGGGATCTCTCTGCTTCTTGACCATTGGCTTGCTGAGTAGCCAGCTGCAAATGGAGTTCGGGAGGAGTTTGACTGCAGTGAAGTCTTCTCGAAGTGCTATGAGTTGGTTCCGTCTTCAGATAAATCTCTTGCTGGATAATGGGCGAACTCAGCCAGACCCCAGGCAAGACTCGCGAGCCAACCGACAGTTTTGGCTGGAGTCACTTGACTTGGCTTCAGACCTGATGGCCACTTCAGCCAGAACAGTCGCCGCATCTGTTTGTCGTCAGAACAGCAGGACTCAGGAGTGTTCCCTCGTCGCCACGAGCCGTGAACAGAGGTGTTTGGCTCCTGCTAATCCATGTCCTGCATGGAGTGGGTCGAGGACGACTGTTCAGAACTTTCTGCACGCCTCTTCATTCCCTGACGTGCTTCACAGCCTCCGAGCGAGGAGTCTATGAAGGAACCAACAAGGCACCACGACTGCAAGGTCTCCAGCTGTATGTTTTGGAGAACTGTCTGCCGCAGGGAATCTTCGGCGACTTCTTCGGTGATGACAGGAGCGTCGGTGCCTTCTCCAATGTGCTTGCAGTGGGCTTAACATGCTTGCGGTCAGAGCTCGACTCTCACGACAATGTGCAAACGCAAGGTCCAGGTCTCCGCGTCCTCGATTGTTGGGTATTCATTGGCATCAACTAGCTGGAAGGCAGGGCATCTGATGTGTCACGGAGCACTCCGTGGAGGAAGATGTCATGTGTCCTTGGACATGTCAGGACGTTGTGCTGCTGGGCAGCATCTGCTCTCACTTCCAAAAACCTGTGATTCCTCCAGCGACAGGTACGGCCTTCTGATGATCTCTGCATCTCTGATGCTGCCATTATATGTGTTGGCCGGTCGGTTGAGATGCCCGAGGACATCAGGGCGGGGCAAGATGAGGCAGGGAACGAATGATGCGCTTCTGCAGGACCGTCTCCTACAAAGACTCGGAGAAGGAGCATGAAGGGTCGCGACTTTCCCAACCCCACCTCGCAGATCGAGCTTGCATCGCAGGACTTGGAAAGGGCGCCAAGCGACTAGCGGCGGAGGGCATCTCTCCAACTTGGACAGAAGCTTGGATGCGAGGCTCCGGCTCCCACGGCTCTCGCCGCAGACGATGACGGTAAGATTTTGAACAACTGTATAGATGCTGGGTCTGCGCGTGAAGCACGACGCCGGACATGACTAGGTGAGGGCATGTGCTGGACTTGCTGGGGGAGCTGCCTCAGATCGACTTTTTTGCTGGGGTTTCATAGGGTTTCTCAGCTTGGCCGTGAGCGGTTGGCGTGCGATTCCAGGGTGGGACGTCGTCACCCCACTAGCCGTCCTGACAATTAATATAGCATCTCTGCTGTGCCGTCGCGGCAATGATGTGATTTCTCACGATTGTGGTCCCTGAGAGGTCCCAAGCGCTCCCAAGCACTTACATGTCCTCTTGCTTCTCCGGGGGCAGCTTAGAGAGTCCGTTGGAAACGTCTTGGTACGCAACCCTCTTGCGCTGAGGCAGGTGCCTGGCTCCTGGTTCTCTTCGTCTGGACTTGACGCCTCTGTATAGCCCATGTAAAGTTTGAAGCGCATTTCCTTTCCTTGGAGAAATCGCCAGCCATGGGAACCATGCCTGGTGAAGAGCCGAAAGACTCTTTTGTTGCAACCAGTTTTGTACAATTGGCGTAGAAGGATCCCGATCCGCGACAGGGAATTCGAGGATCCAGCCGACCAGCCGATCCGAGCGTCTCGCACGCTTGAAACATGGCTCCTGCGGAGCAAGCAGAGGCATGCACGTCGTAATTGCCCAAAACTCAGACTTTGACCCCAGTCCCTCGAGGCTTCCGCGTCTGCCACGCTTCCGGCTGGGACACTTGCGGAGGCACTGCGGTCTCCTAAATCCTTGCTTGGACGCACCGGGACCTCTGAAAGAGATTGCCCGACAGTTCTTGGCCTTCGATAGAACGACAAGACTATCCAGGCAAGCTGACCGGCACAGTTGGCTGTGCCTCACATGCGGCAAATGCCACGGTAAAGCTTGTAAACAGGTGGTGGATGTGGGCTGTTTGCCCTCACCGCTGTGCGCAGCAGCTGCTTCGTTGCAGGAGGTGGGTTCAAAAGTGCCGACTGTCGTGGTAGAAGTCTCAGGCTACAAATTCGCGCCACCGCCCAGCCCGAATCTGGTTGCGCTGTACGGGACTTTCTTCTCTTGATGTGACTGTCGAGTAGACAAATCACTACTTCAGTGTGCAATTATTTCCTGCCGAGGCGGAAGATTCTCACCGAACGACTTGTTCCAGTACATTTCTACCTGAGGACACGCATCTCTGCTGGTTCTTCAAGGGGTTTCAGCCGACCGGACTTTCTCGCGGCCGCTGCAGGAACAATCTGACCTTCTGTAATTATGCCGCCAGCTCAGAGCAGTCACGAAGTCTCTGACTCTGATCATGCTTCCAAGCAATGTCGCTAGGAAATCTTGCCCATCCTTCACTTCCTGAATGTACGACCAGCTAAACACCGGGAAAGTTTCTGTTTGCAGATGAAATCAATGGACTAAGATTGCGGCACACGTGGCTCTAAAGTCCCCGACTCACGGTTTGATTTCTCATCTTGTCGGTTCTTCGTATTTCCGAGGTCTGGGACATGCACTTCATCGGAATATGTTGTTCTCCGAAGTTTGAGGGCAAAAGTCACAAGGACAGGGCTGGGGCATCTTTGCACAACTTTTCGCCGCAAGCTTATTGCTGTGTTAGGAGATGAACAAGATGGTGGACGATATTTGCGCCGAGGCCCATTCAAGCCAGTTGCCGGTCAATGTGGCTTGAGCATTTCAAGAGGGACAAAGCCGCAGAGACGGACAGCGAGAGAGATAGGCAGGGTCTTTACGCGACCCTTACGCCCAGCAGAAAGAAAAGGAAGAGAGAGCGGGGGCAACTCCCCACTACAGCCCTGGCGAAAGAAAGAGAGAAAGCAACAGAGGTAGTCCCGTCATGGTGCAGAACGTGGTGCAAGGCTTCACTCCCTCCTTCACTCCCTCCGAACATCCCGTCACCGCCGGGCTTGATGCCCGGGGGGGCTTGACAAACTACTACCAGAGCTGACGCTGTTCAGTACCACGTCGTGGAGAGTGCTGCTGGCGCGGTGAGTGAGGTGAGGAACAGGAGCGATCGTGTGTTGCAGGTCTCACATTGCTCGATAAGACAGAGTACGGACATGTGCACGTAGAACGAAGAAGAAGCAGACCAAGAAGAAGAAGAAGCAGAATAATAATAGACAGAGGAAGAGGAAGTGTCTTCACAGCTGTCCGTTGTTTCATCATAGCGGGTAGAGTCCAACCTGCATCGCAAGGCAAAGGTTTGCTTGTGTTTGCCACGCAGGTTGTGTGTATCGGGTTTGGTTGTGAACATGTACGGTGGCCTCGCAGCAGCGTCATGATGGAATTAGGCACACTAAGGTTTTGAGAGCCGTGATCTCTTGTGAGCTTCGGCAGTTCTTACCGTCAAGCTTCAGCGTGTTCGGTCAGCACATCCGTCGAAGGTTGGGATGCAAGGCCGAGTGAGAATCCTTTGCCTTGGCCTAAGCCGTCATGAAGCCCAATCGCTCCTGCCACTTCGGCTTTGCACGGTTCTTCGCATGATGCCTTTACAGTCTTTACAGGCCAGCCCCCTTCGAGATGGCACATGATGCGGCGGCGAACTCGCAGAAGGTGGGACTTCGACTGGTAAGGCCGGCACGCAAAAGAAGCGTCCGGCTCCATCAGCACCAGGGTTCCTTCTAAACCGGACTGTCTTTCTACCTGAGCCTAGCATCCCGGCTCTTGGTTGGCTCAAGTCGTTTCCCGACCCGTGACGTTTCCCAGACCCAGCTGCTGCCTGAGCTCTTGTCCGAGCGTTCGTACCCCACACCGGTGGTGACTCAGGTGTGAGATCTATCAGATTGAGACAATGATGCCCCTTGGACGCATCCAGGCCATGCGGAACATGATGGAACATGTCTAAGCCGGCAGCCCTCCCCGAGGCAGTGCGACCCATCCTCTGCTTTCTTCGGGACGCTTGGTGTCAGAATGGACTTAAAATGAGACCTTCTGGTTCTGGTGTTCTCCGCGCCCACTCCAATGCCAAGGTTCATGGGAGTCACGTCGGCCTTAGTGTTCGCCAACCTGGGAGCAGCCTACGGCACGGCGAAGTCAGGCCTGGCTTTCTCAAAACGAGGATGTGCAGAAAAAAGTGCACTGCGATCACCGCAAGGCGTCGGCATCGCATCAATGGGCGTCGGGGCCCTGCAGGGTGCCGGAGTCGACTGCCTCGCCGCTGGTGCTTGGGGAAGCTGAGGTGATGCGCCCGGACATGATCATGAAGCGCCTTGGCTCGTGTCATCCGTCCTGCGGCTTTCACAGCAAGAGCCGACCCAGGTCTATCATTCCAGTTGTTATGGTGCGGAGCCCAAAATCCCATAGTGCAGGAGGTTTCATGCATCGAAGTTTACTCAGGCAGGAGTCCTTGGCATCTACGGCCTCATCACGGCAGCACAACCCCAAGCTTGGCCTACCCCCGGTTTTTAGCACAGAGTTGCTGAAACCCTGCAAGGTCATCATCAATGGCAAGATGGATGCCGCGAACTACTCGGCCTACTCCGGCTATGCCCACCTTGGCGCAGGCACAGTGCAGTCCCTGTATCTACAGTCGTAAGCTGCTCTCTGCCTGAGGCCTGACTGTGGGCATGAGCTCCCTAGCAGCAGGACGTGGGACTTTGGTGGGCAGGCATTTAGCGGCTCTTCAAGGTGAGGGAGTGACTTCGGCGAGGACTTGCCATCGGCATTGTTGGGGATGCCGGCGTTCGAGCTAATGCCCAGCAGCCTCGGCTCTTTGTCGGCATGATCCTCATCTTGATCTTCGCCGAGGCACCGGCATACCCTTTCTTTTGAGGATGTGCATTACAGGAAACAAGAGACGCCGTATCCGTCCGGCTTGGCATGCGAATCTCAATCTCCAATTTGGCTCGAGGCACTTGGGCTGTACGGCCTGATCGTTGGTCTGGTTGTGGCCTCCACTGCGGAAGGCAAAGGCTCGACACTTACACCTTGGGTATGTTTGGGTGTTGGAGACATGTGGAGCTAGATATACGTAATATGTAATAACCTGTATTTAGAGACTTGTAAACACACAAACATAAATATCAATATGTAAACTTGTAAATATATATGTAAACACGAACACAGACGTAAGGACAAAGATAAGCACATAAATGCATGCATATGTAGATGTAGATGTAGATGTGTATGTGTGCATCTGAACGTATGACACCTAGGCAAGGGCCTTTGCAGCCCATATGCCAGGGCCCGATCTGACAAGCTGGCAGCTGACATACTCGTTGTAGTCTCGAGAAAGCCTTGTAGTGAACCCATCAGACTGAGCGAGGCCTGAGACCAGAAGTGACTGAGCTTGCATGCTAGTGGCTGCTTTAGGATTCTTGGAGTTGTGGAGAGATTTTGGTAGCTCTCCCTGCGTTGTGCAGTGCTCATTGGCCAGGGCGGCTGAACAGCTGTGACATCCACCTGTTCCCATGTTATTGCCTCTTATGCTAGGTCAGCGTTGTGGAATCACAGTGACGAATCCGTTGCTCATCCGAGAAAAGCAGTGGAAGCATTGAGTGGTGACTCCATGGCATCTTTGGTCTTAAAGAAGGATAGATCGACAAGCATCGCTCGTGAGCAGGCTGCTCAAGTTTTGCATAGGAGAGTGACATTTTCCCTAGGATCATGCATGCTCCCTGTCCCGCTCGATCCTCAGGTGATATGAATGGGTCACGCAACAGGTCGAAGCAACAATTGTCCTGCAATACTGCCCGAAGTTTTTCACCAGGTTTTGAAGAACCTTTGCCGACGGTGATGCGATAGTTGCTGGCAGCTCAGTTTTGACGCAGAAGCTCGGTTTAACAGCGAAAAGGTGGTACAGTACTGTGCAGCCATGTCTCGCAGCAGTCCTGGGAACAATGCTGTTCAGTTCACGTTGGATGCCTGGCTCAAAGCTGCAGCAGACGACTGCGAGACATGGAGCCGCCCATGCAAGATCACGACTTCATTCTGGAAGCGAGCCATCGTCAGTGCGTGGAGCCCTGCCTCAGCAACTTTCCTTTGAGATGACTTGATGTTTTTCCTCATTGGAGTGAGATAGTTTCGAAAGCTGTGTTGCAGGAGGAGCTTTTCGACGATTACGCCGATGACTTCGATCGGCATCTGGGAGCCCTCCGCTATGATATTCCAAGCTGTTTGCTGGACATGCTGCCTATGGCCAAATTCAACCGCTGCATTGATCTGGGATGCGGCACGGGCCTGGCGGGTGCCCGTGTGCGCGCTCGCTGCACACAGCTGGAGGGGGTCGACCTTCCTCTAAAGATCCCCGAAGCCCTGGAGCCTACAAGACGAAGCCGCACTGCTCGCGTAATATGCTAGAGCCTGAAGGTCGACCTTTCGCAGTGCATGATTGAGAAGGCCCGGGAGAAGGAGATCTACGATGACCTTCACTGCCGGGATTTGGTGGCCCATCTGCGCCGACAGGCTGACAGCACTTGCGATCTGATCATTGCCACGGATGTGGTCATGTATCTCTACTCTATTGCGCCCTTCATCGCGGAGGCAGAGCGGGTGTTGTCAGTTGGTGGCATTCTGGCCTTTTCTACTGAATCTGCCTCAGAAGATGAAGCGCCGACTGGCGTCATTGAAAGAGCAAGCGAGCGCTTTGCTCACACAAGAAAGCTTATTTTGGAGCTTGCAGCCCACTTCACCGCGGAAGACGTGAAGGAAGTGGATGTCCGGCTTGATGGTTCTGCAGGTCCCATCAAAGGAACCTGAAGCCGAACTTCAGCACACCATCTCTCGAGCGTAATCGCTTTCCCCTTGTACGAAATCCCACTTCAAGAATAGAATTGTCCAAGGGAGGGTGGTTGGGAAGCGCATCCGCAGAACTTATTTCGTTGATCCCATCTGTCGGGCGGGGGCGGGGGGGGGGGTTGGGGGTAAGTGTGACAAGTGACCATTGTCTAAACAGCTGTTGTGTTGCGGCTGCTGCTGCTGCTGCCGTTCGTAAAGGATCGCGGAGGTGTTGGTGCAAGAATCGCTGCAATCATGCCTGCACTCATAGGAGCATCCGGAAGCGTAACTAAAATGCTCAGCCAGAGTGCATTCATGGCAACTGACAACAGCGGGTTATAACATGTCATAACAGCAGGACTACTTGCACGACTCCTCCTTCTCACTTCCTCCCACCACCACCGTTCCTACTCCGACTCGTGCTTACTCCTATGCCGCTATGCCGTCTTGCTCCTACACCTACTCTTACTACTACTCCTCCTCCTCAGCAAGTCAGCAACAGCAGAATTCTGCATTTTCGAGCCAGTGCTCCCGGTTTGCAAAGGGCTAGGTTTTGGCTCACGATCAGTTTCCTCTGCTGTGAGTTGAGGAGATATCTTCCTGCTGCGTCTGCAAGCCTGAGAAGCTCGCGTAGAAAGGTAGGTGAGCAGCGCCCACGCAACTGACGGCAGTGTGGAAAGGGTGGTCTCGTCGAGTTTCGATACCAGAGTCTTGCATGCCGCAAGGGAGTATGCCTGTATGCGAGCCTGCAGCCTACGAGCTGAGGCCAAGTGGAGATGGCAGGAGGCCGCCTTTGTTCTTGAAGATGACGCGAAGGTCTCTGCTGCCTTGAACATGGAGGTCTTGCAGAGGCCATCCTGGACTATGGAGGTTCAGCGATGCTGATGCCAAGTAGCATCCAAAAGGATGAGAAGTGCCTGCCAGCTGTCGAAGCGTGTCGGTTCAAGGATATGGGCAGTCTCCTTGATTGGGACTCACACATCTTGCATGCAGACGGGCTGCTTCGCGAGGTTCTCATTCTGGCAACAAGTCCCGTTCAGACCACCGCAACCTCAGGGACTTGAGAACAATGCATGGCCTGTGCCCCGTGCGAGCATGCGCCAGTCATGCACCTTGGTGGAGTCGCCACTCGCTTGGCTGTCTCAGGACCACCGTGTCAAAATGTTGTGCAGGCAGCCAGAGCAGTTTGTGTTTTCCGTGTTGGCTCGTTCTTGCTGTTCTGCAGGGTGAAGTCTCAACCAGAACTTTGTTGGTGGGCCTGACGAAAATTTCTCCCCGGCCGCCTCCGAACGCTCGCCTCGGTAATGAAAACCTGATCTTGCAACCAGCCGTGGTTGGGGCACGAGTTGAGAAATTGTGTCACGCTTTCCTGTGAACCACGATCCGTGATTCGCTTGTGAAGGACTTGTCGGTCCAAAAGCTATACAGGAACAGCGACTAGCTCTTTTCCCCGCTGGCAAGACAACTCCCGGCTTCGGAGCCAGTGTCCGTTGGTCGACGTTTGCCAAGCTTAAACTGACTGAAGCTGTGTCGGAGGTTTACGTGGCCGCCTTGTTCCATAACGGAGTGTATCTGCACTGGACCAGGACAGCAGCAGTACAAGCAGCTGGCCCTACGGCTGGGCCGCATCCGCTTCCCGGAGAAGGCAGTGAGACGCGGTATTGCTGGCAAAGGTGTTTCTTGGTTTCTTCTGCATTCGGAGGTCGTGCTCCTCCCGGGTCCTGAGCTTCCATGCAAACACGCATCAAAATCCCGGCGGGCAGCAGCAGCCGCAGCAGCCGCAGCAGCAGCAGCAGCAGCAGCAGCAGCAGCAGCAAGCGCCACAAGAGAGCCAGCCGGCCACAGCCGGCAACGAGCCAGCTGCACCATCCTCGCAAGCCGGCGCAAACGGCTCAAAGCTTCGAAATGCTCAGGGACAGGATGCCCAGGCCCATGGGAAAGCGACCAAGGCCTGGCACGTCTAGGGCACGTTCTCGGGAGTTTTATCCGAAGGACGACCAGGAGGAGGAGGACGGCGGAGACGATGACGAGGCATGGCTAAACACCACTAGCACCGTCAGCGAAGTTCTGCGCCTGGCTGTTCTCAGGAAGCTGATGCCGTCCCGGAGCCAAAGAAGCCCGCGGAGACGGCCAAAGCCTGGGCCTCGGCTTCTGCATCGAAGGCCGTGATGTGATATGACGTGCTCTGTCTCAGGAGGCGGAGTTTAAGGAGGCGTTGAAGAAGCACAAGGAGCAGGTCTTGAAAGATGAGGACCAGATCTTCGGTCGTAAGTTCACAAAGTCAGCGCCCGACCACTCCCAGGAGCAGAGAAAGGAGGAGGAAGAGCTCAGGGAGAAAGCGAAGAAGAGGCTGGAAATGGAGCGCAAAGCAAAGGCACCTGGGGCAACAGACGGTTGGGTGTTTGAATGTCCAGTCCCCGCACAATGCTTGCCGCTTTGCAAGGACATGCTGAAGGCGCTGCCGCCAATTCCGGAGGTCCGGCTACAGTCATGCTCTTCGATCTCTCTTGAATCAAGTCTGTTCACCTCCACTTCAAATTCGAGAGGACGGCCATGCAAACCATCGCAGCGGGGATCCCACAGAGCATATGCACTGCTCTTCATCCGTGCAAAACCTTGAAAGAGGCTGGGAGGCGCAGCTGTCTGCCAGCGACGTGAAGCAGGAACTGCAAGCGAGGCGTCTGCAGTACGGCATTGGCATTGGACCAACGGTTCGTTCTGTCTGCAATACATTGTTGCCTGGTCAGTCGCGAGATGGACGCTTTGCGGTCCAAGCAGCATGCAGATCCTGGCGCACTCCTGGCAAAGGTGAGGCCCCAAAAACAGCGGTGTTAGAGTGGCTGCGAACGTGCAGTCAGGACCTGCGTGGAGCCTTTCTCACCTACTTGGGCTCCAACAGCCCGCACCATCTTGCCTCTGCCAGTGCCCGTGCAAGCGCTGGCGAGGAGGCACGAGCTGCATATCGCACGGGAGCTAGATCAGTGCAGACCTTCCAGGCAGACATGGCGCATCACCAGAGCAGCATGCCGAGAGTCTCTGCGCTAGACTTGCCTTGGAATTATTGAAGCATGAGGTTGGGAGGCCAAGCTTACGGCCGAAGACATGAAAAATCAGATGCTTTCAAGGCACAAGCAACACCTGCAGCCATTGCAAAAACTGGCCTTCTGCCTATCCCTTGGCTGGCAGTCGTGAGCGCGACTCCTTGGCATCTTCTGTGGCAGCGGGCCTGCATTCTAAGCTAGATTGAAAGGTGCCACCGCTCATCTGCAAGAACTCAGGTGGGCAGTGCAGATGCAAACAAAACTCTGAGGGAACGTGACGAAGGTGTCGGTGGTGCAGGAGGACTGCAACCAGCCAGGTCGCTCAAGGTGGCCTTGCTGCAGCCTTGCCTTGACCCACAGGAAAGGGCAAGAACATCGGCGACGACGAGGATGCCAAAGACAAAGTGGAAGTAGGCCCAGAGACAGACTGAACTGGTACTGGGCCATAGCTTGCTGAGCACTTGCATGCCGGAAGAGCGCAAGAGTCCGAGTTAGGTAGACACAGACACAGAGCCCGACACAGACTGGCAGACAAAGACAGACATAGATTCAGACAGAAAGAAGGAGAGAGATGTGCACGGTGTGTGAGAAAAAACAGCAACACCCAAGATGTTACACTCGAGCATGTTGATGCTCACTCTTTGTTTCTTCGGGTCTTAGTTATCTGTGTTAACTTGCTCCCCCTGACAGGCTCGTCCGGCGGTTCGGGCACGTTGCTGCCGCTGTCTGGGGCCCGACAACGTCTGACGGAGAGCGCGTCACGTTCCGAGCCCAGGATTCACCAGGTGGGTCAGTCCATTGGCCTGAACGATGTCCTGAAGGTGCGCCCTTTCTTGTGTTCTTGTGTTTTCCGAAGTATCCCTGAAGCCCTGCAGAACAGCGTCGAGAGCTTCAACCTGGCCTTCAGACAATCTCCATATCCTAAGCAACTTGCTTCAATCGGACACTGCGCCGCCATGCGTCGAGAAGCCGCTTTTGCTTCATCCAGGTTCTTCTGTGGCAAGGAGGGTGAGACTACGAGGGAGCTGGAGGAAAATGATCATCCAGCTCTCTACTTCTCCTTTCCTGTTCGGACTCTTGGCCCGAGGGCTTATGTTGAAGCCCAAGACTGGCTAGGCAGATCTTGGCAGGATTTGCAACACCTGTAAGGAACGTCAGCGTCACGCTCACGAACCTCGGCAAGAATGGAAAGGGGCCCGAGGACGGCTTCTGCAGTGCGGCCGATCCCGGATTTTCGTCGATGTGGCATGTGTGTTGAGGAGGTGGTGTGGGATGCAGAGTTTTCGAGTCGCAAGGACTTCAAAGGAGTTTTAGGCGCGACAGATGCCTCGCACCACCAGGGTTCTCACGTTTCCTTCGCGCAGGCACCATGCGCCCAACTGGTGGCACGAAGCCCCGGTACAAGCCACCCTGCTTTCCTGCCAAGACCAAGTACCGAATGCAGTTGCGAGTGAGCCTCGGCTAAAGCCCTTCTTTTTTTACTTGGGATCATTATGTCATAATACATTGTCATCCACCTAGCAGACCTAGCAGTAAAGGAAGCAGAAGCTGCTTCTTTGTTTGTGCAAGTAAAGGAAGCAGAAGCTGCTTCTTTGTTTGTGCAATGTGTTGCGCTTGTGTCAGCAGGTTTGATGAGAAAGTATTTGAGTGCACCCGTGCTGTCCATGTCGTTTCATGTGTTCAGGATATCTGAAGATGAAGGTGAAGCTGCTGGTCGAGCGCCTAAGACACAAATCGACCACATGGCAGCGGTGCCGCATGTGTGCGCACAAGCACTGAGAGCTGTTTCAGTCTGCGTTGACGTTTCTCTCTCTGTCTCTCCCTCTCTCTCTCTCTCTGTCTTCGTATACAATATATGTACATTCCTTTCCGTTTATCTCTGTACCTACTCGTAACCATAAAAGAAAGAAATACGCCATAGACGCATGTACCTCACACCATGCATACAATGCACAGACGCGCAGAGATGGCCACAATGTAACAATGTACAACGAGATAGGTAGCGGTACACAGACAGAAGCATTTATGTGGTTGCGAAGCCACTTCATAAATACGTACACACACCCGCAACCATGTGCATCCATTATTTCTCTACCTATCTATCTATCTGTCTATCTATCTAGCTAGCTAGCTGGCTAGCTAGCTGGCTAGCTAGCTACCTACCTATCTATCTCTCTATCTATCTACCTATGTATCTGTCCATCTATCTATCTATCTATCTATCTATCTATCCATCTATCGTATGCACGTATACACATCTAATTGTGTTAGTTGATAAGTTGACAGACGTCCGTGCAAACATGTGTGCATATATGTATATGTCTGATCATATATACACACACACACATGAAACCTGACATTGTCATTCAAGACATTGCAAGATTGTACAAAATATTTCATGATTACACGACATATTGCAATACGAGAAGACATACGGCACGATAGTACAGAATGTCACTAGGTTATGCAGGATACTACAAGATAATATCGCATGATACATTACTATTTGCAGCATGTTATAGCAATGTAATACGTAAGGCAAAGTCATATCACGTCATGTCATACCATATCATATCATCCAGTTTCATACGGTCTCGTACTCTCATGTAATGTTGTATAACATTGCATGATCGTATAATATCACCTGCTATGGCATCAGGTCGCATATTAGCATGCAGTATCACATCATACGATATAATGCATTCCAGCATGTAACATAGTAGAATAGAGGCGAACACAAGGAGCAAAGAAGAATAGACCACAATACAATGTACCAAACGATAATGAGTAGAACATAGCGTTGCATGGTACTGTAGTCTAGTGCAGTATTGTCTTGTACAGTGTTGTATTGAAAATTTTGCATGGTATTGTGTTGCATTGCATTGTATTGTATGGTACTGTGTTGCGTTGTGGTGTTGAGTTGCAACTGCTGTGAATGTGGTGTATTGTAGTATACAGCAGGACAAGATACAAACAGACGATGGCACACTGTGCTTTATATGGTCGAATATCAGACGATGTTGTTTACCATTATGCGAAAACTAACATAACATAATTACGAATATCTAGCAATGTTAAACAGTACAGCATAATCTGATGTAAGCTAGACCAGTGCAAAATAGATAGTACACCATAACATGTTAAACACCACAAAGACGGAGCTATTGGTAGACCCCAGATATGGCCCTCAAAAACTCACCTTCTTAAACTCTACCACGGTTCCCACGGCAGATTCGTCCAAATATCTGGGCTCCATGGTCTCATGGACGAAGCCCTTTGAAACGGCCTTTTATCACAGACGAGCTCTTACTATCGAGGCCTATAAGAAACTCCGACTTGTGTGGAACAGCCGCCTCCCGAAGAAGGAAAAACTCCGAAATTTCCAGTCGTTTTTCCCCCCGACGCTTTTGTATGGCTTGGATTTGTTTACCTTGACCAAACCGCAATTGCAACGCCTTAACGCGTTCTATTTCGGGTACCTTAGAAGGGTTGTCGGGATCAAGGCTTCTTATATCTCTCGAATCACTAATCACACGGTGTGGCGAACGGCAAACTATCCCAGAAGACCATCTGATCATTTAATGAACCTGGAACGCTCATTCATCCCTAAGGTTTATTTTGCCCAGAGAACCGAACCGCTCTACACGGTAGTCTTCCAAGCCCCGTACAAGGATCGCATCAAGCTGCAAGGCACTCGTAAAGGACGACCTATACCCTATTGGGCACCAACCACTTCCCAGAGACACTTTAGGTTCCATTGCGATCAAACCGCCTCGGGTCATAGCATCTTCGGGCCGCATGTTAAGTATGCCCTTATAGCCAGACACCTTAGAGAGCTAGAGTCGGCGCCAATGCGCGCCAACCAGCGCACAGGGCCGTAGCAAGAAACACCATAACATAATCTTAGTAGATTATGGCATAAGGCACATCAAGATAAGATATGCAACATGAACAGTATAGTATACGATGATAACAACAGCACAAGATGAGATTCGACATTTCCATAGTAAATACAACATGACATTCTTTGTAACATGCTACAACGCAGTTGATATAGTTATTATACAGAGTATGATATAGAGGGATTGGAATACAATAATTTATAACCATATGCAGCAACATATACAGAAACAATCGCAATAGATGGGTGCTTGCTTTCGGGATGCTCAATCGCAATCCGTTTGTTCTGTCTGCGTAACTATCTACCGGTCAAATCGATCCACCTGTCTCCATTATCTTCACTCCACTATTGTCCAGCCTCGCAAATCCGAGCATCGCATTTAGGGCGGGGGTTCACCGCCGCTAGAAGCAAACGTCGATTTTCCAGATGCACAGTGGAAGGGTTGTAGCTTTTCTGGGCAGAGCAAGGAATGAGTCTGGCCAGTTGCCCTTTGGAGGTCTGGCTGGCCTTTCTGGCTTAATTATTGAAGAGCCTGGGGTCCATTCTGCATTTTTGCGGAGTCCAGTCCTTGTGCAGAGTCCTGATGCACTTGTAAGTATTACTACACTGCAGATTGACACTGGAGAAACTACCCTGGGTTCAGCCTACCCTCTTGCTTGCCCATAAGGCCCGGAGATTTCCCGCAACTGTAGAGGGTTTCCCGGCGGTACAAGATAAAAAAATGTAAGCCCAGTTCCTGTCCCAGAGTCCCTCTCTGCAATATGGGTGGCCTCAATCTATACTCGGATGCTTGGGTTATCCACCTGTGGGAGGGTCTGTTCACGTATCTACCGGTTTTCTGTCTACGGATATGTCTTTCTCTCGCTGTCTTGTATGTATCCATGTATGGCTGCATATACATACATACATACATACAGAGTTACCACATATACATACATATATATATATATATGTATAGGTCTGTGGATCTGGACGTGCATGTTTGCGGTTGCGGGGGCTGGATGTCTGCAAGTTTTAAGGTCCAGATCGCAGCATCGATGAAGATGCTGAGTTTGAGGTCCAACACTACATTTTAAATGCTTTTAAGGCTTAGAAGGTTTCAGAGTTTGCGGCGGACTTCAGAGTTTCAGGGTTCGTGTGTGCGAAATTTACTAAAGCAGAAGTTGGAGCCGGTTTGGCTGCTGCGGAACAGTTCCCCGGACCTCGGCTCCCCTGCAAGGTCCAACTTCTCGACAGGAATGATCCCTTGATGCAAGAGAGGCAAGGCCCTCGGCTGCAGCAGGACATCTGTAACAGGGGCTGGTTTTGGTCCTCTTTGTGAGGCTGAAAGATGCAGAGAACCACTACGACGGCGTCCGGTCGGGGGACTCTTTCGGCTCAGGCTCGGAATGGAGAGTGTGTGTGTGTGTGTGTGTTGTGGTGTGGAAAATGAAGACACTACCACTGTGCTCTTGCATCACGATGAGTCGTCAAACAAAGACTACATTCCGCCTGTCCCGTGCCAACCAAGGAAACCGGAAGGAGCTATGGACGCATGCTACACTTCAGATCAACACACACATCAGCAAACGGTTTAGCAGGATGGTCAACACATATGCCATTGATGTTGGTCTTGGTCCTACTAACGATATTCCGAGACTGCCAGCACTACTGTTAGTGTCAAGGATCACATACTAGCAACTACCAATATAACACCTATACATCCAATATCGCGAATGCTGGTCTGGTTCATAATGCGATCCTTACTGGTGTCGCGAATCAACATACTATATCACCGAATCTTTTCTGTTCGGAGGACTGCTTGCACTACAAATGCCAGCAGTACTGCGATGATTCCGGCTATCGAAAACATACATGTAGTGCGAACCTGCATCATGCTTCGAAGGCTGCTACACACTAGCACAGGTAAATCCAACGATGCCAGTAGCATTACCAGTGCTAGTATTGCTATGCATCTTCGCGGTGTTGCAAATTTCATACACTTTGCGACGAACACTTCCAAGTACAGCCAGCATTGCCATCTCTACTGGCATTCGTGCTCGCCCATGCTTCGATAGTATGGTCAAACCATGTGTATCAGTTCCAATAAAACGGTGCCCATTATCACGAGCTAGTTCCACTCACCAGCATTGACGTCAAGGTTTCATGTCAATCATCGAACGAAGGCAGTGACCTTTCCACAGCGAACTGTTTCTATGAAGAGCCGCCTGGATATTCTTACACCACTGTTACAGCAACTCCAACTTCTACAGATCTAGCAAGATCAACAAATGGAACCAAGCCATCTGCCCAACTTCGGAAAGTCTGAGAAAGAAGGACCGTCTGCCTGGATGGTCGGAATTGTGGAGACATTTCAACTCAGAACTTCCGAAAGCTTCGAAGGATCAAGACTGAAATTTCACGAAGCCTCTAAGATTAAATTCTTAAACTTCCTGAAGTCCAAAAGAATTGAGGACCTACTTGTGGAAGGTTTGGGGTTCTAGGAAGTGACAGGGCTCACAATGTCGAGAATTGGGGAGGCTCCAAGAACAAGACACCTGTGTTGCTGAAGTCGGAAGGTTGCCAAAGACTGCGGGGCACGAAAAGACTGCAAGGAAGTATGTGTACACATATATATATATATATGTATACATATGTACATGCAGATATACTGTACATGCAGAGATGTACATGCGGACAGATGCATATGTCTAGATCATGGCCAAACATCCATAGATGTTTGTAAAAAGCAAGTAGATGAGCATTGACACTTCAGCCACCGCGCCTTCCTCGGAAGTTTAATTATCGAATTCTGCCCTGGAGGGACAAGTGGTTCTGGGCTTCCTGGTGCAGTCTCTGGCCCCGCGAATCAAGACAAGATTGGCAAGCAGCTTTGTCTGAATGCGGCTAGTGTCTGACATGTTTTTGCAGTTTTGAAGCCTGCTAAGGATGCTCAAGGAGTTGATGAAGTTCGAGAAGCGGCCAGCCAGCAACATGAGCAAAGGTTCAACTATATAAGCTTTCAGAGCCTGGGCCTTCTGCTCTTCTACTCTGAGCTTGTTGGACAGGTTGGGGCCATACATTGCTGCGGTGCCTGCCGATGTGGCGATACTAGCACCAAGCAGAAGGCCGGGTGACCAACTTCACAGAACGTAGCTGTGCTTTTACGAGGGAGACTTGCTTGGTTTTATCGTGCGAACCGAAGCTTCTGTTGTTTTTATCTCATCATTATCATTATCCTTTCATCATCGTCATCACCATCGTCATTCTGCTGCGGCTGCTACAACTGCGGAAGCTACCACTACCACTGCCGTTGCCTCTGCCACTGCTACTGCTAGCTGCCAGCTGCTGCCAGCTGCCGACGAAGGTTCCCAACCAGGGTTGCCATGCGGTGATAGGCAGAGTAACGCACCTCTCCTTCCGAGGCCAGCTCCTCGCACAGCCAGACTTTCCTATTTGCACTTCCTCTAGCTGGACCAGTTTGGATTGTCCGTCAGATCGAGCAAAGCTCTCTGTCATGACGGTTATCCACCTCGTAGGACCTGGAGACTGAGCTAGGCAGCTGTGCATTGCAGGCCGGCTGTAGATTGCTTCCAAAGACAGCACCGCAGCTCCGAAAAGCGTGCCTGGACTTGTTGCCCGTGTGACAAGGCTACTGTATTCCAGCAATTGAGAGAATGTAGCAGGTGCCAAGGGTCTTGGATCAGCTTCTGCACAGAAGCTGTGGAAGAACAAGACCGAAGACTCGGAGTCAGAGACTTATGTGAGGGCCATGATGTCGGCACTGCTTAGACTCGCCGTGCCTAGGCCGCGTCCACTTCAGATCGAGTACAACAGTGGCTTGTCAGCAGAAGACAACGAGATATTCGAGGACTCCGCACAGTACAGATGTTAGCTCAAGATAGGTGTGCAGACATGTGCTGTGCCGTCAGCTGGAGCTTCTTGGATCGGCAGGATCTTGGCCTACCGGGACATCAGAAGGCCGTTAAACCTAATTGACATCCACAGCCTGCGCAGGGACTAAACTGAGCCGGGATTTAAAGTATTAAGCAGGCTAAAGACTACCCGCAGACAGAGTGATCGAATCCTGCTTGTCAAGCTTACACCAGCCTAGGACTGCTGTTGCCGTGTGAGTTTGCAAGGCTAGAGCTGCATTCCGCGAGTCTTCTGAGCGACATGTTACCTGAAACTGTCCTGTTGGAATAGTCATTGGACTCTCCTAAACTAGCTACACGATAGGCCCGATAGGCATTCAAGATAGGAGCAAAGGCCAACACGTTGCTCGAGACTTCTGACAGGTCGCGGAAACAGTTTTCGAAGACCCGGAAGAGGCGCGGCTTTCCGTCTGCCGTTCGCTTGTCACGGTTCCGAGTGCCTTTTGTGCTAGGCCGGCATTCGACCCCGGCTCCTGGTTCCTTTGCAGTCCGTGCTCGGTCTAAAGGCTTTGTGTGACTCGGACTTGACGAGGGGGCATTTCGCCAACTCCACTCATTGAGCTTCACATCAGCTCTAGGTGAGCGGGAGTACATTCGCACGGAGACGGTGACCGAGATGCTGAATCAGTGCCGCACCGCTTACTACAAGGACCCTGGAGCCTCTGACCTGCAAACAGAGACGATTCTGTCGAAGAGGAGCTGCTCTATCTCCGAGAGCAACTCATCCTGGCAGCAGAACCGGAGAAGCAAATGCTGCATCTCGAAAGCAGTTCGTAAGAATCCCCAGCCCCCGACGCCCGAGCTCCCCAACGCCTCGCAAGGCTGGCATCCGTTCAGAACTACGAGGCGAGCCCGGAGAGCCGAGAGTTACATTGCCATCCCTGTGTGGGGACTCGGACTTCTTGCAGGTCTACTACTTCAACCCTCCAGCCTACGTCGTCATCGCCTCTGAGATCTTTGGTCTGTCGATTGCATCCCGTGCAATCCTGGGTCTTAGGACGAAGACCTGAAAGAGTACATCATGAACTGCAGCAGCCCCTTGGAAAGCCTTGAGTGAGAGTTAGCTAAACCTTTGGTGGACCTGCGTTTTTTTTTTGTGAGAGTGTGAGCCGATCAGGATGGACCCACAAGAAGCTGATAGAAGAGAACTATGAGCTCCAGATGAAGCTTGCAGGCGCCATAGGCAGCCTGTCCGAAGCAGACAAGCCTTGAACGGAGCCTGATCAGGACAAGAGGACGTCTTTGAGAATGTCGACTTTTGCTTGAAAGGTCTTCTTCGGAGACACGGGCGGGCGACTAAGAGAATGCCGGAGACAGGCCCGTTCCTGCAGCGACGAGAGAGTCACCTCGAGGACGTACAAAGTCTTCAAGACCACGCACAACATCGTAAAGAATGCCAAGGCCGGATTTGGCCAGCCTTGAGTCTGACTCCCTTGAGGCAGTGAACGGCTGCAGGACCTCTTCAATCCTGAGGACATGATCCGCAAGAAAGAGATGGAGGAGAAGGGTTTTGCGGCTTTCTTTCCTTCGGCGAGAGACCACTCAGACGTGCTTCCAAACAGGGCCTGAAGCCCATCGACGAATTGCAGGCGTCGCTTTCGCGAGCCTCGGAGCCATTCCCTTGGGGTCCCCCTTTTCGTGACGAGGCAGCCGTCGTCGAGCTCTTCCCGAACCTCAAAGCCAAAGACGACAATTCGGTCTTCGCCTCAGACGTGCGAGTGTCGGCTGTCGGTCACGCTTTTTGCATGAGGGCCTCCTCCTGGCAGAGATCGAGGCGACTTTTGCAGCAACTGAGAAAACACGGCCTAGCCGCCCTTGCAAGGAGCTCCAGCAGTCTGTGACCCAGTTGAGAGCAGAATTGGCCAAGACGAAGGCAAGCCTCAGCTCTTCTCGCGAGTGCGCCTGAGTTTTCCCCTCTTGCCTGGCCTTGAGGATCTCCTGGAGAAGGAAAGAAATCGCGGCTGGCTCAGCTGCTTAAGCCAGGTGATGTCAGGCATGACCAGCCACGCACTTGCAGGCCGAAAACTTGTTCGGAAACTAGGGTTTAGGGTTTAGGGTTTAGGGGTTTAGGGTTTAGGGTTTAGGGTTTAGGGTTTAGGGTTTAGTAGCCAGTGACCCGAAGAAACCCAAACACACGCACAGACAGAGACACACAGATAGAGAGATACGGACAAACATGCAAAATGTCGGTGGTGCGACGGCCACTCGCTGACAGCCCCTTCAAACTCAAAACTTGGGAGGTGCAACCGCCGCTTGCATACAGACAACAGCCTTGTTTACTGACGACGAATTGCACCACGTGGTAGATTGGGGCAAGATTTACTGTTTCAACTGTTGTCGATATGAATCAAAGAAGGTGCGTTGCCACACAGTCTTTAAAAAGTTTAGACGAGCCTGGAGACAGCTGCTGGAGGGAATGGCAGCAGGTGCCAACGAGCTGAATCGGAAGTGCGATGAGCAGAAGCAGCTCCTCGAAAAGCCGCGTGCGGAGGAGGCAAATTTCAAAAAGAAGATCTTGGGCTTCGGAGCGGTCTCGAAGTGGCAGGTGGAAGTCGTGAAGAAGGTGGACAACGAAGCAACCTTGGAGGAGCTGAAGCAGCTCAAGGACTCGGGGCTGAGAACTCTTGAACTATCACTTGAGTGTTCACTTGTCGCTTTATCGCCCTGTCTCAGGAGCTCAGGCAGGAAATGGAACAGGAGGCCCAGGCGCAGGCCTGTGGCAACCCATTGCAAGCGGAGCTGGTCATTGAGATTTCCACCTTTGCTGCGCCAGGCAAGACGGCTGCGAAAGCAGCTGGACGAGTTCGCCGCAGCCAAATCTTTGCCTTCAGGACTTCGGAGACTCGAAGCCTTAGCTCCAGCGGTGCGATGCGTCGTGAGAGTGTCAGGAAGCTCCAAGGCGGATCCCAAGAAGCATCTGCAGAAGCTGGACGAGGCCGCTGCGGGGCGGGGCGCAGGCTGCGGGGCAATGCGGGGCACAGCAGTGAAGACGCAGTCTCAAGGCAATCTCCGATGCGGAGCAGCTCCTTCAAGCAGCTGCCGGGAGCCCGCCTTTTCCCTGCTCTCCGTCTGTCTAAGTCGATGGCAATGCGCTCCAGGCGAGCTTGCCGCAGCAGGTGGTGACGAAAGTCCAGGCATCTGCAGCCGACTGCACGACTCCAAGCAGCACCTGTTGCCATGCCAGGGCGCTACCAAGCAAGTTGTGGATAAAAGTGGAGAAGAAAATGCTTTGAAGGCCCGAAAACCTTACGCCGACAAGCACCAGTTCCGCATGCGTTTCATTGAGCCTACCAGGAGCTGCAGCAGCTCAGACAAGAGTGTTTGGCTCAGAGGGTATGTGTTGTGCATTTCATGCCAGAGTCTTGGTACATTGCAACAGACTACGACGTACTATGCGCTACGAGCACGGTATAAGCCCGGCCATGCAAGAGCAAGCAGCGCTTACCCAGGCTGGAGGCTTTGAAAGCCAAGCTTGCGGCTGCCGAGAAGACACTTGTCTGCAATGGAGGGAAAGATCCCCTAGCTAGAAACCTAGAATCGGTGCTGCCTTCGGGGCCAGAAGAACACTCCCAAGACCCTCAAGCCCTCTAGATCATGAAGTTGACTGAGGCGGGAGCGGGAAGCCTTGCAGAAGCTCAAGGACAGCAGCAAGGGCTCGCTGATCCAGGCATGGGTTCACGTCATACTCTTTCTTCAGGAGCTGCAGAACAGGCCCGACAAGGCCTTGGCCTTGGAGCTCCGTCCTATGGAATGTTGCGAGACTTTGCGAGCTTGCACAGGTCGAGAAGTCCGACTCAGCAGGACTTCCAATCGTTGAGCTGTGCCTCCAATGTGTGAGTTCTTCACGGATTGCCCCTTCCAGGACCCATTCCGGACGATTACGAAGAAATCAAGACGCGCCTGGAGCGGAAAATCGCCAGGCGTGGGAAACATGCTTGCTCCGGCCGGCATGCTCGATTGCTGGATATCTCTCGGCCAAAGTTTGCATGAACTGCTGCCAAGAGGTAGGGTATCCCATGAAACACGGCAGAATCATCTCTCAACCCTTGAGCCTTTCCAAAGCGAGCCCAGACATTTGTTTGGTCGTGGCTCTTGGATGTAGCGTGTGAGATTCAGTTGAACATTGGCTTCTCTGATTCTAGTGGATATCCAGATGCTCTGCGCTTGTTTTTTTGAGTCCTCTGCTGTCTTGGCGAGATAGGTTTCCGAGTGCCACAGTGCCATGCTGCATGCTTGTTCGTGGGGAGGACGGACAGCCCTTTTCCATGGTAAAGTCAAACAAGAGCTCTGGCTACCTCTACCTCAGCTGTTTGCTCTCTGTCCTTGGACCTGGAAGGATTGCGGAGTTAGAGGTGGAACTGGACCAGGCCTGAAAGTGAGTTTGCCGTCTCCGTCCAAGCATAGCGTCACTTTGTGCAGCCGTCGAGCTTTCTGTGGTGTGCCGTGGCCAGACGAAGCGGGACCTGCGAGCTGCCAATCGCAAAGTTGAAGAGCAGGATCGTTGGATTTGTGCTTCCGTGTTCGAGACGCGAGGGCCTGGGCTCGGAATTCAGGAGCTGCTGCTTCAAGAGAAGGGCAGGAAGGATGCAGAAAAGGCCAAGCAATGTTCCCATCCCAGCTGTCTAACAGCCCGAGCTTCCATTACGCGTTGCCTCAAAGTGGCAGAGTGACTGTGATCCGAGTGTCCGACCTCATGGAGAAACTTCGGAAGTCCGAAGAGGAGGCACAAAGGGCAAGACTTGGGAAGGAGGGCCGGAGCCAAGTCACCACATGTCGCGATCAGGCCGACAATCTTGGAGTGACTTGCCTGCAGTTGGGCTTAGGCCACAGTTGCATTGGTCTTGATCGAGTTCTTAAGACTTCGTTTTGGCTTAGGGCAAGCTGTACAATGCCCAAGAGAAGATCAAGAAGCTCAAAGAAGAGATCCGGGACTGATGGGCGCGTGGCGTCAGCCCGAAACCCCAAACCCTGAACCCTACCCCCCAGCCCTAAACTCGATCTGCAGGACCTGAAGAACAAGCTAGGAATCAAAGTGGAGGAGAGTGAGGGGGAGGAAGAGGAAGAAGCAGAGGACGCACCGAGCTTCATGAGCCGCTATGCCATCCGAGTCCCAGCCTCAGGCTTCAAGGTTCTAGGTTTCGGGTTTTTGGTCTTGGCTTTTGGGGGTAAGGGTCTAGTGCGTCTTGTTTAGGGTGTAGTGACGAGACAGTCTCAGGCGAAAAACAGTGGAAAGCCACGGTGGATGCTGCTGAGCGAGGACTTTGCCGGTAAGCTTTCGCGAGTTGCTGCTGCTGCTGCTGCTGCTGCTGCTGCTGCTGCTGCTGCTGCTGCCGCTCGTGAGTGCGTGCGTGCACGCCTGCACACGCATATATATATATATATA